TGTGTTGTTGCTGTGTGCAACACATAAAACAACAATAAATTTATACAAATCCTTTCGTTATCCTCGTTTCGTTGTAACAAACACTATACGGTAAACCATGGGACATATGCATTATGGATGATGCGATGCTAGCAGCAGTGTCTAGTCCAGTCCAATGTGGTTTGGTTCTGTTTTGTTCAGGACCTTCGTCAAATGGTTGAATTTTTCTATGAAAATACACCATAAAAAGGACTATGACCACCACAACCTCATTGATGATGCTGCTGAAACAAAAGCTTCGTGGTTAAAAGAATGTAGAAGAAGAGTGGAGAGAAACGGAGAGAGCAATGGTAAGGTGTCAACAATCCTCCTCGGCAGTCTATGACACTCGTTGGCTAGTTGATGCCATTAACCTTTTGCCTTTCGAAAGCCATCCGCTTGAGCCGTTGTAACTGACCTTTTTACGATTTAGTTTAGATGCCATTGTGTGTGTGGCATCATTGGCTATAACCACTGTAATTACCACAATTTATTAACCATCCCGAACAACCGACCGACAGAGCGTTACACTTTCGTCTCTTTTCGGATTTTATGATGAGATTTTGCTTTTATGACACGTTTTTGTTATCCTTTTAAAGGCGGTTAACCCGGGGTTTGAGTGAGACTGACACATATCACATTTTTAATAGAAATTGTTGTGGTGCAAATTTGTTGCCAATAAAATGAGAAAATATAATCCCAATTGACTTGAATTTTTATTAAGGTTATTAGAACGATGGCAGTATTGACAATTTGTTCGAAGACATTTTGCTAATAATAAAAAAGGGTGAGGGGCATACTTTCGTCATAGATGCTCATTTGAACTTGGGAAAATATAAATGAAGGAATATTTTTTTCCTGAACTTACTACGCGAGATTCTTATTAGCTAAGGCTGCCAAAAAGGACTTTACATGTAAACCTGACAAATGTTTCCTAATGTGATATGGAATCATTTTTCTTTCGGTGCTTTATGAGAAATGATGGTTGTATTTCTCGTTTGATAAGACTGTTTTTCCATAATTATAAGAAAATCCAGCAGATTTTGAAATTGGAGCTAAAATAAAAAGTCACGTGTATCGGCGTTTTGAAAGTTTACATCACAGAGTAGTAATCTTAATAGAGGTCAAAAATTCTACCCTTAAACGAGTCACCAAAGGGGTTTTTATGGTAATTATACACTCTGCCATATGGCTAGATAGGGTATATATCATTTGATACGGTCAAAATGTACCTCATCGAAAAAAATCATTTTAGAATTTTACCCTTAAAAGAGTCACCAAAGAGGTCTTTATGGAAATTATACCGTCTGTCATATTGCTAGAGAGGGTAAACGGTTATTGACCCTAGGTATCTTCGGACAAAATTCATTTCAGGACATTTGGAGTCGAGTCTGGCTGGCTGGTGCGCACGATAACTCTCGAAGAGACTATCCGATTTGTTCCAAACTTGGTACATCGTAATATTTTTGTCAAACTTAGATCGAGTTCAGAGATGGACAATATCAGTCCACTCCGCCTGGTACCTCCCCCAAAAATGGTCGAAATTTTCAAAAAATATATTTTACTGCATTAAACGGCAAAGGATAATCCGATTTTGCTCCAACTTTGCAAATCCTAATATTTGCGTCAGTGCTAGGTCAGGTGCGAAAATGGACAACATCGGCCACTCCATCAAGTACCTTCCCCACAAAGGGTCAACATTTTGAATAAATACAACTCTTATAAAATGTAATGAAGAGTCCGAACATCTTCAAATTTCACATATCCCGATATTTTTATTATCCTAAGGTCTGGTGTGAAAATGGAATATATCGGTCCACTTCTCCTGGTACCTTCCCCACAAAAGGTCGAAATTTTCAAAAAAAAATGTTTTCTGCACAGAAAGAGAAAGGATAATACGATTTTGCGCCAACTTTGCACATCCTAATATGTGCATCAGTGCTATGTCAGGTTCGAAAATTGACAATATCGGTCCACTTCATCAAGTAATAATAACTCTTATAAAATGTGATTTAAGTTTTCGATTATCTTCAAATTACACAAATCATAATATTTTTATTAAACGAAGGTCTGGATAGAATGTGGGATATATCTACCCGCTCATTCTGGTTCCTCCTCCACAAAGGGTCAAAAGTTTGAATATCCATGAAGCTCATAAAACGGGAAATTAACATCCGATTCCATTCAGACTTGGCACATCCCAATATTTCCAACAACACGAGATCTGTTATTAAGATGATAGAGATCGGACCATTCCTTCTGATACCTCCCCCACAAAGGGTTAAAATTTTGAATGACCAAAACGATCATAAAATCCGAATTAAGCATCCGGTCCTCTTCATATTTCACACACCCCATAATTTCTACTAACACAAGATCTGCTGTGAAGATGGGATATATCGGTCCACTCCTTCTGGTACCTCCTCCACAAAGGGTCAACTTTTAGAGTACCTATGAAGCTTATAAGACGGGAAATTAACATCCGATTCCATTCAGGCGTTGCACATCCCAATATTTCCATCGACACAAGATCTGTTATAAAGATGGTAGAGATCGGACCATTCTTTCTGGTAACTCCCACCCAATGGTTTAACATTTTGAATGACCAAAACGATCGCGTATCATTATTCTACTAACACAATATCTGCTGTGAAGATGGAATATATCAGTTCATTCCTTCTGGTTCCTCCTCCATAAAGGGTCAAAATTTTGAGTATCCATGAGGCTCATAAAACGGGAAATTAACATCCGATTCCATTCAGACTAGGCACATCCCAATATTTCCATCAACACAAGATCTTTTATGAAGATGGTAGAGATCAGACCATTTTTTCTGGTACCTCCCCCACAAAGGGTTAACATTTTGAATGACCAAATCGATCATAAAATACGAAGTAAGCATCCTGTCCTCTTCATATTTCACACGCATCATTATTCATGCTGACACAAGATTTTCTGTGAAGATGGTATCGGTCCACTACTTCCGATGCCTCCCCCGTAAGGGTCAACATTTTGAGTATCTATGAAGCTCATAAAACGGGAAATTAACATCCGATTCCACCCAGACTTGACACATCCCAATATTTTCATCAACATAAGATCTGTTAAGATGGTAGAGATCGGAACATTGTAAGGAATGTAAGCATTCGGTCCTCTTCATATTTCACACGTAGCATCGGTCCACTCCTTCTGGTTCCTCCCCACAAAGGATCAAATTGTTGAGTATCCATAAAGCTTAAAAAACGAGAAATTAACATCCGACTCCATTCAGGCTTGGCACATTACAATATATCCATTAACACAAGACCTTTTATAAAGATGGTAGAGATCGGACCATTTCTTCTGTTTCCCTCCCACATTAAGTTCTAGATTTTAAGAAACAAAACACTCAAAGAAAGCGAAAATCTCTTTAAATGTTTCACGTACAAATATTTTGCTAACGCAGGATCTGTTGTGAAGATAATATATATCTGCGCACCCTTTTGGCACCTAACCTCTTCATAATTTTGAATACTTTTTCTGTCAAACAAGGCGGCGATTCTTTACAACTTGCTATATCTAAATATTTCTCTTCACCAGAAATATGAGATGAATATGGAATTTATGATTTCGCATTGGATTGGATATAAATGTTGGATTTCCTTCAAATTTTGTATATACCAATATTTTTATCTGTATTTGATGAAGTATGAAGCTGGAATGCTTCGGTTCCCTATTACAGGTATAGGGAACCTCAGGCATATTTCCAACTTTTCCAAAAATGTGCACATGTCTCATATATCATATAGGAAGTAGTCGATATAGTCCAAATCTGGCACGTTATAATAATTTTATCAGTCTTAGGATAATCATAACTCAAGGCTGGGGGTATACATCTGTCCGCAAAACCGACTGATACTATTTAACTTGTTTCTGTAGTTATTGAAAAAATTGAATTTTGTCACACATTAATATGTTTGAGACCTTGGAGAGACCTCAAATATTTACAAATTATGAACAATTATTTGGCCCACATATAAATTTAAAGTTATTTTTATAGTAAATGATCTCTATTGGCAGACCCCATCAGGAATTTGAAAAGATCCTTTACCACTGAATTTATCAAAAATGTGTCCCTAATCCTGTTAAAATGACATCAAGGGTACTTAAACTAAAAGATAAGTGGCAAATGTTCACAACTCCTAAAATATGCAGCAAAAATGTCGATATAAGACTCACATGAATATCCTTTCATTAATCAATTGAAAAGGGGTTTCATTATTGTGCATATTTTCATATCAATTTAAAATTCAAAAGTTTTTTTCAATATTGAATTTATCTGTAGAAAAATCCTGAAGTATGCATGTTTAAATAAATTGAATTCTATTTAAGATGTTAAAATAAACTATTTCACAATTAAATAAAACTTCTCTTTCATACATCAAAACATTTTCAGGCATTTTAGGAGTAAACATGAATTAGTTTTTTCTTTAAACTTTTTTTTCAAATATTGGTCAAAAGTTTTACGATCATGTTTCCGAACGCTTAATGTTATTTAATTTATTGCCTTGCAGCGCCACATCCTCTTAAGTTTGTTTGAATAATTCTCACCTTTGCCAGTTAAAAAAGTTAAAGTTGTCTTCCAGGAGGCAAATCAAGCTTGAGAAAGTTATATTTTTGTTATTCACCTAATGCTTCTGAGTTATTTGCGTTTTTTTTTTATCTTCCTCTCACACTTAGTTTGAAAATATTTTAACTTTTATTGAATTAGTTAATATTTGGTTTTAGTTACAAACTATTGACTTGGTTGGTGTAATTTGTTTCGTTGCCGCTCTCATTTCCCCTTTTGTTGGACAAATTACACACTGAGTTGCCCCTGTTTGTTTTTTTTACTCTTTCTCTCCTACTTCTCTATTTCTCTTTCTCTTACACACTGTCTCTCTGTATGTATGTGAATATGATTTTGTTTCTTTTTACAATTGTTTTTTGTTATATTTTTGTAGGAGTCTCTTACAATATATTGATGAGGAACTGAAACTAAGGTAACTACCCCAAAATACGAAAAAAAAATATATCACCCAATCAAAACAAAAGCAACAAAAATGACTCAATTTTAGTAGCTGTACAACAAAAAAAACAAATTTTAATTCACTTGACTTCATTAGAACTTTCCTTCCTACACCCACCAACAAACAAATGAACCGAAAAAAGGTTACAAACAAACAACACTAACACTCCTCCCAAACAATTTCAAAAAAATAATGGTTTTTGTTGTAAATTCTAAATCACAGTCAACCACCAACACCATTACTACTACTACTTCGACGATGACGATGACGACTACCCTAACACTTTTACACGGATGCAGTAACAAGATAAATTGTCTTTCTTTTTTATTGGAAATCAAAGTACACATCTCTAACACAGTGATTTTGTTGTTGGTACATTCTTCACTTTACTGTCATACCACACCACCACAACAACAACAACAAAATAACAACATCATTATTGTCATCACCATTATCCTCGACATTACATTTGTAGTAACATCCTTGTCATTGTCATCGTCATCTCTTCATTTCGTTGCTCATTAGATTCGGTTATTGGTTGTAGTTGTTGTATCATCATCACTTTCTCTTCTGCTTCTTTGCAACTTCCTTCCATTCTTCCTGTTTCCATTATACATTGCTTGTCTTTTTTTTTTTTGCTTCCGTTCATTTTGGTGTCATTTTAATAAATGTCTCTATCATTGCTGGGATACAAGGAGCGAAGGGGAAAGGGTATGTTCTAACCCTTTTTTCCCTTTTGTAATTCGAAGGTCTGACATAATTTATTACCGTGAAAAATTATTGTTTCCGCTGAATGATTTTACATTTGTCAACATTATTTGGTGATTAGTTGTTATTCGACTCCCATAAAAATAAACAAAAACAAAATAAATTTTGAAAAATGGTTCAAAATGTTATTGATTGATTACCAACAGTATAATACAGAGTTCTTCATATATTACCCTTTTTTAATAAACAAACCAGTAAAGAAAGTCTTAAATTCGGGCGGGGCCGACTTTAGGATACCCTACACCACTTTGCTAATTTAGTAGAGCTCCGCATAACAATTGACTCACGCTATGATTATAATTTAAAGTTCAAAGGTCTGAATATGCCGAAGCATTTGTATCTATTTAATTCGGACATGTATTACCCATTTGATGCACAATTAACTTGAAATCGGATAAAGATATATATGGGAGCTATATCCAAATCGGAACCGATCTCGATAAAATTTGGCTAAGATATTTCTGAGCTGTATTTGATATATTTCCCTGAAAATCGTCGTTACGGAGTGCATATTACAGCTGTGGGTAACAAATATAACAAATCGGATGAAGAGTATATATGAGAGCTATAGCTATATCTGAACCGATCTTCACCAAATTTGACATACTTGCTTCTACGCTCAATTCGGTCGTAAGTGCCGAATTCCATCCCATTTGGACAAATATTAGACGTTTGGTGCACAATAAAAGGTAAATCGGACGAAGTTATATATGGGAGCTATATCCAAATCTGAACCGATCTCGATAAAATTTACCAAAGTATTTCTGAGTTGTATTTGATATATTTCCCAAAATATTGTTGTTACAGAGTGCATATTACGGCTGCGGAGGACAAAAATAACAAATCGGATGAACAATATATGTGGGAGCTATAGCTATATCTGAACCGATATCGATAAAATTTGGCGTACTTATTTTCAGGCCTAATCTGGTTGTATGTGCAAAATTCCATACCATTCGGCCTGATATTACACTTTTGGTGCACAATAAATGGTAAATCGGAGGAAGATATATATGGGAGCTATACCTAAATTTTAACCGATTATCTCCAATTTCAATAGGGTTCGTCCTTGGGCCAAACAAATGATTTGTGCGAAATTTTATCTGGATAGGACAATAAATGCGAACTGTACTTTGTTTACAAAAATACATGGACAGACGGACAGACGGACGGACGGACGTACATACATAAATCGACTCAGAATGTAATTCTATGCAGATCATCAAAAGGAACTATGGGTCTATCTCGCTTCCTTTTGCCTGTTACAAACAAATGCACAAAGACAAAATACCCTGACCACCTTATGGTGTAGGGTATAAAAAAAGAACAAGTTAAAAAGCAGTAAGTTCGGCCGTGCCGAACTTTGAATACCCCCCACCATTTGGAACGAATTTGGAAATAAAATCCTTAAAAAATTCTGTTAAAATTTTTAAATACCGAATATAGCCGTCATATTGGTGTCTATACGACGTAGACCCACACAGGCATTGTTTTTCATAAGTCACTACCAAATTCAAATTCGGAACTTGAAATAAACGGTGAATAATGTAATGTAAAATCATCAAAATATCGTATATAGGGAGGTACCGTTATATCGGAGCTGTGCGAAGACCTGGACCAGCATAGATAATTTTCTGTCATAGTCTGTAGCATCCATTACGAACTTCAAATACGACATTTCAAACAATTTCGGTGAGTATTGTACCTAAAGTCGCCAAAATACCGAATATAGGGTGGTACTTGTATATGGGGCCAATACGAAGACCTGGACCTGCATAGACAATTTTCTGTCACAGACTGTAGTTCCTATTACAATCTCTGAATACCTAATCTGAAATAATTCCAGTGAATAATGACGCTAAAATCATCAAAATGCCGAATATTGAGAGTTACCGTTATATGGGGAAGACGTGGACCTGCACAGACAATTTTCTGTCTTAGGCTGTAGTATCCATTTCGAACTTCAAATACCAAATTTGAAACAATTCCAGTTAATAATGTCGCTAGAATCATGAAAATACCGAATATAGGGAGGTACCGTTATATGGGGGCTATAAGAAGTTCATAATGAACTTAACCTGCCTACTGAAAAATAAACATGTGTGCAAAATTTTAGCCTTCTATCTCAATTCGTTCGAAAGAGCGTGATTACCACAGACAGACGGACAGACAGGACATCGCTAAATCGACTTAGAATTTTACGCTGGTCAAGAATATATATACTTTATTGGGTCTGACATGAGTATTTCGAGGAGTTACAAATGGAATGACAAAGTTAATATACCCTCCATAGTATGGGGGAGGGTATAAAAAATGTGACTATACAGGATGAGATGAAAAAACTGCATCCAAAATGGGTGCAAGAACTTACACCGCAACCGAAAGAAAATAGACTCAAAAGAGCTAAAGAGTTGCTTTGCTTTGCCGAAAGTGGTGTACTGCTGAATTTGATTTCTCCGATGAGAAAACGTTCGTTGTCCAGCAGTTGTAAACAAACAAAATGATCGTGTTTACATGTCAAAGAGGTCAGCTGAAAATGTGCACCTTCGGTTGGCCACCAGAACTCAAGCGCCTATCATGGTGATGGTGTGGGCCGCCATAACAGGCGATGGTCGCTCTCCGCTCGTATTAATCGAACGTGGCATCACCATAAATGCCGAATATTATCGCGAAAATATTCTGGAGGGTGTATTAAAGCCTTGGGCAGGCAAACATTTTGGCCGCAGGACCTTGGACATTCCAACAGGACTCAGCACCATCGCACTCAGCACGCACCACCCAAGAATGGTTACAAAATGAGGTTCCTCGCTTCATTTCCAGCGAACAATGGCCACAAAAATCTCTGTAGTATTTTGGAAAGCTAGATTGGCACTAAAAATAACAGAGTGTCGACCAACCACTGAAGCAAGCACTTCGCCGGGAATGGGCCAAAGTACCGCAGCCAAACCTAGATCGAGCTCGAAGATGGGCAATATCGGTCCTACTCTTCTGGTCGAAATTAAAAAAAATATATATTTTAGTACACAAATAGAGAAAGGATAATCAAATTTGCTCCAAATTCCCAATTCCTAAAATTGCCATCAGTTCTAGGAAAGGTGCAAAAATCGACAATATCAGTTCACTCCATCAAGTACCTACCCGACAAAAGATCACAATTTTTAATAATTATAACACTTATAAAATGTGATGTAAGAGTCCGATTGTCTTCAAATTACAGACATTACAATATTTTTATTAACCGAAAGTCTGACGTGAAGATGGAATATATCTGTCAACTCCTTCTGGTACATCCCCCACAAAGGCCTAAATTTTGAATATCCGTGAAGCTTGTAAAACGCGAAATGAACTTTCGATTCTTTTCAAATTTCACACATCCCAATGCATCTACTTAAGCAAGAACTGGTGTAAAGATGGTAGAGTATAGGTAGAGATCACTTCTTCTGGTACCTCTTTCACAATGGGTCAAAATTTTGAATAATTGTAAACTTTATAAATTTTCAATATTTCCGTTAAGACAAGGTCTGGTACGAAGAACGGATTGAACGGACCACTCCTCCTGGTACCTCCCCCCACAACGGGGGAGGGGATTACTTTCAAACTCGACTCATCCCAATACTTCTATCAACACAAGATTTGTTGTGGAGATGGACAATATCGGTTCATTCCTTCTGGTACCTCCCCCACAACGGGTCAACATTTTAGGTAATTATAACTCTCCTAAAACGCGAACTTTTCGAAAAATTATTAATATCTCATATAAAATGAAGGAAGTAGTCGACATAAAATCTAAATCTGATACGTTATAATATTTTTATCAGACTTATGTCAGATCCGAAATGGAAAATATTGACCCACTTCTTCGGAATCTCTCCTATGAAGGTTCAACAGTTTGATTAATCCCAACGCAAGTCAAATAAATTTAAATAGCCGAACATTGACTGAGGGTATGCAGCTGTCGGCTATACCGAGGGATTCCATTTCGCAATAATAAAGTTTTCACATTGAGGAAGATAAAAAACTTCGGTCAATTCTCTTTTTACTTGGTTACTTGGTTTAACTTGGTATGATTTGTACATTATTTGAAAAAATTCCGACTTTAAAGTGTTTTTTAAATCAGATTCGAAATCAGGCTTTTTGGAGCAATTTATAACTTTACTATATAACTTTTTCCTTTTTTGCGTTTGTACTTTTCTTACCAAAAAGGT